TGTTGCGTGCGTTCAAGTCATTTCTGACTTATGGCCACCCTATCATGAGGATTTCTTGGCAAGATTTGTTCAGAGGAGGCTTGCCCTTGCTTTCCCCTGAGGCTGAGAGAGTGTGACTTGCCCAAGGTCACCCAGTGGGTTGGGTTTCCATGGCTGAGCTGGGAATCGAATCCTGGTCTCCAGAGTCACAGTCCAACACGCAAACCACTATGTCACACTGGCTCTCTTAACTTGATCTGGAGCTTGAGCTGTTAAAACTGGTCCAAATCAGCCTGATTTGTTATTCATGATTCAGCCAAATCTATTACACAGCCCTATTGGAAACACAATCAGGAAACAAAGATATAAGGTAGAAGAAATCAGAAAAGTTAGTTAGAAGTGTGTTTTATTCTTGTTCTTGTTCTTGTGGTATTTCTATTGGGGGAGGACGCAACAACTCTCCAAAAATTATGAGGGCACTTAAAATGTCAGCCCTGGGTTTCAAAGATGCTAGAAACATTCCTCTTTCTTTTAACATTCATTTTCTCCTTTCAGATAAATGGCAATTATTTAGAGTATAGATTTGTATTTGCATATTGTTAGCAGTAAAGTCACAGTTGCCTGCGAGGCTTCATGTAACACATTATTTGATAAAGTTGTGTGAATCTCAGCTTCTGGATAAAAATATTCTAGCCTTAGCAGCTGCATAGCAGTGCGGGCGAGGCGGGAGAGAGACTTTGAAATGAGAACAAAAAACATCAACTACAAGAGCTCAAACATCCCAAATATAATGTAAAAAAGAACTCATTATTTTGAAATTCTTGCAATCCAATCTTATGCATGTTTACTCAGATGTAAACACCACCCAGACTGTAGAAATAGTGCAGTTTGACACTTTCAGTGCTGTAGCGCCATCCTATGAAATCCTGGGATTTGTAGTTTTACAAAGTCGGACAAAGTCTTTAGCCTTCTCTACCAAAGAGTGCAGAGCCAGCATGGTGTAGTGGTTTGAACACTGGACTATGGTGATCAGGGTTCAATTCCCACTCAAGCACAAAAACCCATTAGGTGACCTTGGGCAAGTCACATACTCTCAGCCTCAGGATGGCAATGGCAACCCCCCTCATAAGTAAAAAAAAATGACTTGGATGCACACAACGATAACAGCATCCAAAGAGTGCAGTTGCCTCACTAACCTACAGATCCCAGGATTCTTTAGGATGGAGCCATGGCAGTTAAAGTGGTGTCAAACTGCATTATTTTGACAGTGTAAATGTGCCCTCAGTGAAATGAATAATGTTTCTTTAGGCTGAAAGTGAGACCTTTTGTGATACTACTTTGGTTTTCTGAGTCCTGACAGCACAAAGGGGTCAAGGCAGGATAGTAGGTGGGTGACTTTTCATTACTTCCAGCAATTTTGTACTTTCTTCTTTCTTTTGTACTTTCTTTTGGATCCCTTCTGGAAGAAAGGCAGCATACAAATGAAACAAACAAGCAAATAAATAACAGGAAGCAAAACACCTCTGCCAGCTTGAAGTTGGTATAGATAAGAGATCCTACCTCGGTGTTTGGACTCAGGGGATCAAAAACTATTCCCTGATTGAGTTACTAAACAAATGGACAGAATAATAACTGCACATCTTGTCTAATATCTCAGCTTCTATGTGGGTCTTGATATCTTGATTTCTACATGGTCTAGAGATTTTTTTAATTTTTTTTTTTAATGAAAACTAGGAATCTCAGCCAACTAATGGTGCAAATGGTTCATACGTGGCATGCTTAGTTTCTGGATGAAATCCAGCCAACTGGGTAATGGGATAATCTTACAACTGGGGTGCCTATTGCTGGCTACCAGGAATGGTAGATTTATGGCCCCATAGGAAACTTGAGAGCCAGGGTGACCAGAGGTCCTCACAGCAAAGGAGGACAAGGCATCACAAAATGTAGGACATTTGAAAAAATGTTGCCGTTTGAAAAAACATTGCCTAATAAAAGCAAAAAACACTAATATAAAGATAAAATCATGGTTCTTAGTTCTGAAGTTTTGAAATTCCTCCTGGGCAGAAGGCTGAAATGGAAGACATGTCCTGGAAAAGGAGGATATCTGGTCACCTTCATTCAGGACAAAGCTTGGATAGTCTACTTTATAGAAAATGACTGGAAGATTATGGATTGTTGGAAGTTTAAACAAAACGCACCAGTTTAAACCTGTCAAATATCCCATAGGGTATAACTAAGCCAGTGATGTGATAAGGAACCGTGGAAATGTTGAAGTGCTTTCCAAAATCCAGTTATTATTTGAATCTAAGGCAGGGGTAGGCAACCTTTTTGAGCCGGGGCCTGGGTTGCT